GTTCAGCTATGTTAGTCTATTCAGGGCCTGCTGTGGTAGGATAGCTGGGCTCTAGTAGAGACATATTGCCCTGGCTGCTATTGTGTCCTTATGCTAGCACCTGCCGTCTGGGTTTGTGGATGATTATAGGTCTAGATGCTGATTTCTAGGTTTGTCTTTTTTGGATAGGTGTTTTGTTCTTTGTTTTTTGTTTCCTCTATAGATTTTAAGAGAGTGTGATGGCTATGTGTTGCCTGTTTTACTGGTTTGCTCAACTGAAGTGTTCACAGGTAATGCCTGCTGGTATTGGAGACTGGGATACAGGGATAAACAGAGGGAGGTAGGTTAGGAGATGACGGTCTGTGTGATCCACAGGAGATGTGGGTGGGGAGGTTGGGGAGGCGGGTGGGGAGGAAGGCTGCAGCTGTTGATTATTTGTAGTGCCAAGGATGAGATGAGGGACTGGGTCTAGGGGAACAGAGTGATTTTTCTTTTCTTTTTTTTTTTTAAATTGGTTTTCTCTTTCAGGGTTTAAAAAAAATTCTCTTGTTTTCTTTTTTGTTGTTTTCCTTCTTTTTTGAGAGAGAGAAAGAACATGAAGTTGGGTGGGTAGAAAGGTGGAGAGGATCTGGGAAAACTTAGGAGAAGGGAAACAATATATGATCAAAATATAATAAATAAATAAATAGATGTAAGATACTTGCCAGAAAATTCTCTCCACAGAGTTAGGATGATATAAAATCTCAACACTAAAACTTTAAAACACAAACTTTAAAAATATTTGATCCATTTTTCACTTCATTTGTGCAGCTACATTTCAGTTTGCTTGTCAACTTTTATTTCCATTATTTTTTATTTAAAATTTTTCATACATTGTATTTTGATTATCTCCTTTTCTCTCCCAAGTTCTGTCAGATCAACCCTACTTCCCTACCTATCTTGCTTCAAACAATAGCTAATAAAGCAAAAACAAACAAACAAACAAACCAAAACAAAAAGCATACACACAAAAATCTGGTATCTGTTTTGTCTTGACCAACTACTCCTGAGCATTGGACCTGCCTTGGAGTATGGTTTATATACCCACTTTAGAAAAAAAGTGATTTTCCATTTCCCAGCAAATATAAGTAGCTTCTTGGTTAGGGTAGAACTTTGTCTCCACTTACCTTTCTCCATGCTGGAATTTTGTCTAGTTTGAAATTGTGTGGGTCTTGTGCATTCATAATCTCTATGAATTCGTAAGTGAACCAACCCTGTTGTACCTGGAAGACACTGTTCGTTTTGAGTCATTCATCACCCCTGGCTCCTATAATCTTTGTTTCCTCTTCACTGTAGATCCCTGGGCCTTATGGGAGGGATTTGATAAAGACATTCCATGTAGAACTGAGTGCTCCAAAGTCTCTCACTCTCTGAACATTGTCCAGCTGGAAATCTCCTTTAATTACCACCTACTGCAAGAAAAAAGCTTCTCTGATGAGGATTGAGTGCTGCTCTGATCTATGGGAATAGATATGTTATTAGCAGTCATTTTATTGCTATGCCCCTTTGGCAAATTAATTACTGTAGGTTTCCTCAAAGACTGTGACCTTGCTAGTCTCAGGTTCTTGGCCTCTTTAGCAATTTTAGGTATGGGTTCAATCTCACAGAGTGAGTCTTAAATCCAATTAAGAAAAGTGGTTACTCCCATAACATCTGTGCCACTATTATACCAATATATTTTATAGGATATTCACTGTTTTAGGTCACAGGGTTTGCAATTGGGTTATATTGGTGATTACTTTTTTTCTTCTGGTGGTAAGCACAATATCTTTCAGTATTGTTAGTCAGTAAGGGTGAAGCATTTAGCTGAGCTTATCAAAGCAGAGTCTCCTAGGTTGATCTGGTTTCTCCCTCCCTCAGCATCTTACATTCTCAGTAGAGACAGTGGAGACTGAATAGAATAGTCTCTGATGAGGATACAAGAACTATGAAAAGCACATGAGGATAGTCAGAGAGATCCTATGATCTTGTCTAGGTCTCCATGGAGAATTGTCTCCCAAAGTACCCCAAAACAGAGTTACATTTTTCCAATCACCCCAAAATAAGAAGACTATAAACCTTAATGAAATAGCCCATACTTCTGTTCAATTCCTTCTCTTCTCACTTTGTAGAGGGATGACACTAAACCTAGAATTAAAAAAAAAAGACCATGAACAACAACACTTCATACAGAGATCCCTTCCCTTACTCTCCCATGATTGCTTTGATGGGGACACACCCTGCATATCCAAGACATAGATAGTGGCAGTTCTTACAGGTGCCACCTCATATAGATCACTTGTCCTAACTAGTCTGCCAAGTACTTTTGGGAGCAGGGTGGTGGACCATTTTCCCAAGCCAATGCTGGCTGACTGATCATCTTGGTCTACTGTGTCAGGTGTGACTAGAAGCAAAGATGCCGAATTTTATATTCATTTGTCAGAAAACACTTCATAATAAATTTATATTTCTGTACATAATTTCTGTACACTTACATTACATACACAATACATAATATATTTCTCAGGCTTCCATGGAGTATGTCATGTTGTGAGTTGATATTTGGAAACAGTAAAAGAGCCAATTGTGGGGAATATAAAGTGAGAGATATAAGTTGAAAACAGGACTTGACTGCACTAATTCTAAGCTTTTGGGCCCACAAGACTAAAAATGTTGTAAAAGTCATCATCAAAGAGAAATTTCCATAGATATTTTTGTAGCAGTAGATGCTCTTTTTGGGTAAATGTTTCGTCTTCAAGTGTGTCTAGCATGACAATGTATACTTGGGAGAAAAGTTCCTTTTTTATGTGTGATAAACCTGCTTTTTACACTTTGATACTATACATTATTGAATATTGTATTTATTTTGAGCTATGTTTCTTTTTCCTAGAGGGACTGGGGAAATAGGCATATTGGATTCTGGGAAACCATGGGCATAAATGCATTTCAGGGAACTTCTTGAAGGAGAAATGTCTGTTGTAGTTAATTAAAAATAAGAGAAGTCAGAAATGAGGGCCTCAAACTAGAGATTATTTTCTGTGAATCATGGACAGAAGAGAAAAAGCCAAGACAAATCAGTTCAGTAGAGTTGACTTTGAAACTTGTATAAATGAACAATCACGCAGATGTGAGGTGGAGTGAGCTATTCTGAAGTGGAAGAGATTTCCTTGTGGGAGACAGTTATAAGAGATATTTCTAAACAAGAGAAACAGCTGTGTGTGTGTGTGTGTGTGTGTGTGTGTATACATGCGTGTATGCATGTGTATGTGTGAGAACATGCTTAACTCTATGTACTTTTGAAAGCTGAAGAGAGTTCTAAGGTATTGATGAAGCTTGTTGGGCACTTTGCCAGCTTCTGGTCTTCCGGACCCATCCTTTAATCCCTGGAGGCATCTGGGAGTCAAGCCAGATACAAGAATTGCCAATTCCCTCCTGGGAATGACTTGGATAAATAGGATTTTTATGTTCCTGTTAGTTCATGTGTAAGTAAGGGGTTGGGGAAAAGAGAGCTGCCCAGTGGGGTGTGAAGGACACAGGGCTTCTGTTCCCTGATGAAATTCCTGGAACCTCAGGAGGCCCTCGTGTTCTGAAGTGTTCCAGTGGGTACAACCCTCACTGACCCGGTTACATCTGGTTCTCTCTGGGTGGACTTCCATCACTTCTCCTCCCTCCTTGTTCTGTGGTAGTAATTAGGGAGGGGCTAGCTGGGTTTGTGCAGGGATATGGCTTTATTAGTGATTTAGAAGCAAAGGGGCTAAAGTGGATATCATTCTCCTTGTTTGTAAAGACTACCAGGAAGGAGGAAGCAAGCAGCCTGTCTGTGTGGAGTGAGCTAGGGTGAATTCTTTCCTTTGGCTTTCTTTATCAGGAAGCATGTGACATTGCTGTGACTGTGTTTGTAAGGAGTCTCTTTGTTGTGTCTTCTTCATCATTTTCCTTCAATCCCTGAAAAAAATCACACAAGGACAAGCCCAGTTTATCCTAATGAGCTTCTTGGTTCCCTAGGAGCCTCTATTCTCCTAACTGTCTCCCCGTGACTTTTTCTTTCTGTGCATTTGCCAGTATCTTTGGCCTTTTATTCTCTCAGGTTATCCTGTCAGCTTCAAATCCTCTCAGACACAAGTCTCAGTCCCCTTAAGCTCCTAACTATGGCCTACATGGATTTGTGGTAGAACAGCTCCTTTCTGGTGACATCACAGCGCTCCAAATGATTTGACATGACTTTTAACTTTCTCACAGCCCATTTCCATTGTCTGACTGACAAGAGATCCTTGCCATCCAGGCTCTACACATGGTTCAGTTTTCTTGGTTCCTCCTGCCTAACCTTCCAACATCCACAGACCTTTGTAAAGATACACAAATAAAGATAAAACAAATGAAACACATTTGCTTCTGGATGAAAACAGTCATCCTTCTAGATGGGTCTCTACTCGGTTATTTTATCATAGAACTTTCTTAATTTATGTGGTCTGTAATCAGATACAGCTGACAGTAGTGTGTGTGTGTGTGTGTGTGTGTGTGTGTGTGTGCACATTGTGTGAAGCCTTTGAGAATGTGGAGGGTCTCATTGAAGGCAGAATTGGTTCCCTGGGCAGTGGGTGGTAATGCATGTCCTTGGTAAGTTTCTGCTACTGAGATGAAGCTCTAGCCTGCTCCTTCTCTCAGACTTCTGTTGCACTCCTGGCCTTCTGGCTGATTGCCTCCCAGGAATCTGTGTTTGTTTGACCTGTTTGAAATCCTAGCACTGCATGCCTTATACCCACTGTAATTCTGCCCTATGTGCATGCATTTCTTAAAATATTTTGAGATTATAATATAATTACATCAACTTCCCATTCCCTTTTGACCTCCAAACCCTCCCATGTAGGCCCCTGGCTCTCTTTAAAATTCATGGCCTCTTTTTTTCTTTAATTGTATATATGCGTGTATGCATATATATATTTGTACATATATAACTAACTATATAATACATATATTGCCCACATACATATATTCCTGAATATACAACTATTACCTGATATTTGTCTGTATAATGTTACTTGTTTGTATATGTTTTTAGAGTTGCTCACTTGATAACGCATAACCAACTGGGGAAGATGTCACATATTCTCTCTCATCTGAGGTTCCTAGCTTCAAATTTTCAGCTGTGAGTACATAACCTGGAGTTACATGAAGTTTTGGGAAATTCTAAAGAACATGAACGGGTGAAAGGTTACCTAAAGGGTGAGAGTGGGGGTCATACGCAACTACAAGGAAGTTATTACCTACCCTGAGGTGGGGATTTTTGGCAGTGCATCTGTTTTGGGGCCACACACTCTCTATTAAGTAGTCCCTCACCCATGCTTCTGTAAATAACCCATTAAACTTACTGTAGGTTCACCATATACTTGGGTGGAATATGCTTTGGTCTGTCATTGGTGCCCTAACTGGCATGAGCCACCATTCCCATTTCTAGTCTGATTTTACTATGATGTTAATAAGAAAATGAACTGAATAACAACAGGGATGCCCAGTGAATATTGAGGGACCAGAGAGGATGTTCAATGGATAAGACCTTAAACTGCTCTTCCAGGGCACCCAAGTTTGGTTCCCAGCACTCATATTAGGTGGTTAGGTGGAATCCAGCTTCCTCTTTTGACCCCCACAGAGACCTGTACTCATGTGCATATATCCCACACAGACACAAATATACGTGTATTTAAAATAATAAAAATAATGAAGTCGTGCTAACTTTGAATGCTGGGAAAACTTCATTATCCAAAGAGAAGGATGAATTAGGGGACAGGTGAAGGACAGAAGGAGAAAAGGAACTGAAGGAAGACAATTTCAGCAAGGGAGCCTGTATTAGCCATCTGTGGGAGCCTGTGTGAGCTGTGGAGCACCCACCAGGTCTTGGGGTGGAGCTCACAGATTCCTGGGTGAAGACTTGGATAGTGTGCACTCAAGGACCATGAGAATGGATGAGTAATGAGGCAGTGAGGTGAGGGGTGATTGGGTTTAGCACAGGGGTAAGGTGTAAAAGGCATAGGGAATGTGAATGGGCAGAGACACAGAGAGACAAAGATACATACAAAAGAAAGGAGGAGAGCGACCAGTACGGAGGATGATATACTTGAGCAGATAAAAAGTCAAGAATCAGAAACAGAGATTAAAGAGACACTAAAGGAATAAAAAGGGAGCCCCCTCTGATCCAAGTCTGAGATCTTATAGACAAAACTGTGCTTTATTTTGGTAGCCCAAGAAGTTCTGGGAGGGAAGAAGTAGAACCAGTATTGGTGTCTACTAAAGGCAGCTCACTTCATCTTCCCATGGAAATAAAATGGGGCTGAGGTGGCTATGGACCTTCTCAGGGGTCCCATGTGTCTTTGTTTAGGATGAAGTTTCTGGGAGATTCGACACTACTTTAATGACAGGTAAATAAAGCCCAAGTGGGCCAGGGAGGCCATGGAATCTTCTGCCTTTTGTTGGGGCAGGGGGTGGGTGACATGTAGTCTCAGGTGGCTTCTGCTTCTCTTAGTGTTGGCAAGGGACACAGTGAACAGCTGTGATGAAGGTTGCCTCTGTGTCAGTGTCCTCTGCACCCGCTGTGTGATCTGGTATGAAGCAGCTAGTAGGACACACTTAGCAGGCATCTTCCAGATCTGGGAGCGACAGAAGAGGCAGAAGAATTGAAAGACTCACCTGACATTCCACTTGGAAACCAGAGTGTGGTTTGCTCTGCTAGGGCTGTCTGTGCAAACCCTTATACCTGCTTCCTTTCCCATGAGCCACAGCTGCAGCTCCTGGAGCAAACATGTGAACACTCAATCTTCCCCGTGAATATGGGAATATTCTGAATATTCTTCCCTGTCCTTTTTCTCCAAGTGATCCCCTGCTTTAAGCAGACACATCTTTTGTCTCAGTTGAGCTCTCAGTGGGATGGCATGGTGATCAAACCCTGTGGTCACGCATAAAATTAGATAAATATAACATGCAAGCAGGTGATGGTCACCACTGTGATAGAAATAAGAAGTGGAGAATTCCAAGCTGAAGGTGGGATGGTGAGGAAAGAGCTCCTCCATGAGATGATGTGTGGATGCAGAAAGTGGGGAATGAGAGAGTATTGGGAGAGGAGATGCAGGCGGGAGCCTCAAGGTGAAGCATCCTGGTCCATCTCGTCCTGGCAAGAAAGCCCTGTGGTGGCAGGAGGGTGGGAGTGGAAATGAGTTCAGAGAAGTGGCTTAGGGCGGAGCATGCAGAGTCTAGTGACCATGATGGAGACTAGGGATTTACTGTGAGTGAGAAGGAAAGGAGAATTTTGAGTAGAGAAATAATGTGACCTGACAAAACTGAAAAGGGTTATTATATTTTCCAGTTTACCACGAGATTTGCTACATATAATAGGAAATCTAAGCTTTATTATTATATTTCTATCAAAACACCCAAAGGCTTGCAATTTAGAACTCATGGCGTGGCTGCAGAAAGTCATCGAGGACCAGGCTTCTGCAGCTGTGCTTTTCTATCCTGAGTGCCTGGTGTCCTCTGTCATGGATGCCTCATGCTCCATAATGAATACTGCAGCTGTAGCCACCAGGACCATTCTGAAGCAGCAGAAAGGGTCAACTGCCACTCACACAACAGTTCCATTTCCATCACACGGGGCACACCAGAACCACATATTACACTTAGCTTCAAGGGGCGTAGCTTACCTGTTGCATATACTTTCCAGGTTTTTGTCATTGAGAAAGAAGTAGTGAGAGGTTACTGGATGACAATTATCATAAACTGCACAGTTCAGTTTGAACGTAAGGGAGAGATAACATTGACTGTACCAGCTTGTATCAAACAGTGGTGTAATAAACAGCTGTAGGGGGTTAGATACTGCATTTTGTAGGTAAACCTGAGTCTGGGGAGAAAAAGGCTACTGGAAGAGAGGAGGTGTATTGGGCATGTAGGGGAGATATTGTAGAATCTTGTGAAGGAACCTAGCATGGTCCAGCTGGTGAAGAACTGCTGCCTTGGCTGAGGCAGGTGTGGTACGGTGGTGGAACTTTCAAGCAGGCAGTTTGATATAGAAAGTTGTAGTTCAGAGGCTACTTCTTGAATGATAATTTGAAGCCAATAGATTAGATGAGATCTGTCTGGCGTGAGTTCAGAAGAAGAGGATGAAGGCAAGAATATCAGAGGAATTAGTAATGGAGAGTAGGCAATAAACCCAGGGAGGGTACAAGAGAGCTGCAGCTGCGGCAGGGTGTCATGGGATTTTGGGAGATCCAGCTTTTTTTTTTTTTTTTTTTTTTTTTTTTGAGGAGGCTGAAGTTACCTGGATCATTTGCTGCTCATGAACCAAGTCAGAACAAAGAGTGATCAATCAAAAGGTGATGGATTATTCTGACAAGAGACTGCAGGGAGCCAAAACCTGCTTGGAATGACTTCAAAAAGAATAGCAAAGCTGGACATGATGGTGCACGCTCATTTACTGCCGGTATCTGTGAGTTCAAAACTAGCCTGGACTCCATAGTAAGTTCTAGGATAGTCAAAACTACATAGTGAGGACCCTGTCTCAAAAAATAAGTGACAAACAACAATTATCCCCCCACACCAAACAATACGACAGACTAAATACTCTGAGACTCTCTTCCACTACTAAACAAATTGAGCCTGGATAGAATATATCTTATAGTCTACCATTGAGGGAAATCCTCAGACAGACCACGAGCTAAGTTCACAGTGGTGGACAGAAGGGCAAGGAGATCTCAGTTTCAACCACGTCTTCCCAGATATCCTTTCAAGACCTATAGAGCTAAATCCATGACTGGTAGTGGCCTAGACACTGGCCATGGTCTTCAGCCTCCCATGGAAGCTGTTTCAGAATACTTGTTACCCACTTATATTCTTTATTGTGACTCATTACTTCGAACTCCCTCCTCTGGAACTGTAAGAATTCATATATCTATCACTGAAAAGACACCCCACAATTGCTATGGCAACTATGTGTTGGGGCACTTCTCTTTCTGATGCCTTCCACATGCACTTTTTCACATGCTACCACTAGTGTTAGCTGACAAATGATCTGAAGCAGCAAGCCCTCAATGTGGATTGCTAGAGTTTTAGCTCCCGAAGGCAAGGAAGAATATTCTGCTTTCTGTTGAGAAAACTGCTAGTGGACTGTTGAAGATGCATCTGGGACACCACAGAGTTCTCCTGATGTGGTGTTAGGTTGGATGATGCCATGGTGACTGGACAGGTTCTCCCAGCTTTTCTTCTCATCATGAAGTCTGTAACAGCAAATGAGGTATGAGTAGCACAGGAGGCTGTTGACCCACTGACTTTCCTGTAGGCATATCAACTATCCAGATGAATGCAAGAATACTTATAAAACCACACATATGCTATCCTCCACCAGCCTGACCCCTACTGTGAATCTCTCTGGGCCGGTGCCTGCTTAGAGTGGACCCGCTCAGGCAGGGAGGAGATCCCTGAGTCGGGAAACACCTCACTCTTCCTACCCTCTCTGCTAAAAGTTCTAGCTAGAGCAATAAGACAAGAAAAGGAGATCAAAGGGATACAAATTGGAAAGGAAGAAGTCAAAGTTTCACTATTTGCAGATGATATGATCGTCGACATAGTCACCTGAAAAACTCTACCAGGGAACTCCTACAGCTGATAAACACCTTCAGCAAAGTAGCAGGATACAAAATTAACTCAAAAAAATCGGTAGCCCTACTATATACAGATGATAAATGCAATGAGAAAGAAATCAGAGAAACATCACACTTCACAATATCCACAAGCAACATAAACTATCTTGGGGTAACTCTAACCAAAAAAGTGAAAGACCTGTATAGTAAGAACTTTGAGTCTTTAAAGAAAGTAGTTAAAGAAGATAACAGAAAATGGAAAGATCTCCAATGCTCTTGGATAGGTAGAACCAACATAGTAAAAATGGCAATCTTGCCAAAAGTAATCTACAGAGTCAATGCAATCCCCATCAGAATCCCAACACAGTTCTTCACAGA